TTTTTGTATCTGGTCTCAAGCATAGACCAGGGGGGTCCGGCGTTTTGGGAACGCCGGACCCCCAAGAGCAAAAAATTCCGACCGGATTTTGGCAAAAAAAATCAGTTTTGATTTCGTTCAAAAAATATAATATGTCCGTTTTGACGAAATGGCTGTTTAATGGCCCTGCTGAATCTGTGTCGATAGACTTCACAGATTTAGGCAAGACCACCCCTTGTGGTATGCGTCAGGTTATGGTCTGCGTGGACAGGTTCTCCAAATACGCAGAGTTCATCCCCTTGCCAGAGGTAGCTAGGGTACCAACTGTGAGAGCAGCCTTCTCTGAGAGGTGGGTCACACACCATGGACCGACCACTTCTATCGTCAGTGACCGAGACCCCAGATTTTGCAGCGATGAGTGGCAGTCCTACTGCAAGGACTATCTGCACTCACGACTGGACAAGACTTCTGGTCATCATCCTGAAGCCAATGGGTTGGCTGAGGTGATGAACCAAGTCTTATTCCAGCTGCTGCATCCTGTCATCTCTCCAGATCAACAGGACTGGGATCTTCACTTAGCGAGGGCACAGCTCATGTATAACATGCCTGTCCACTCCTCGACGGGGTTCAGTCCCTACCAGTTACACTGGGGACGTGAACCACGACAGCCTCTCGATGATATCATCGATAAGGCTAAGCCTGATCTGACACCAGGCACCGCAGAGTTCACCAGACGCTATCGTTTAGATGTGGAAAGAGCCCGCGCAAACTTGTTCAAAGCCCAAAAGGCTATGATTGAACAAGCTAATCGCCACGGGCGGCCTTCCCCCATCCGCACTGGTGACCATGTCTGGGTGGCCAGCTCTGAGTTGTCGAGGGAGGAGGATATCTCTCCCAAGTTGTTGCCACGTTACCTGGGTCCATGGCAGGTCCTAGATACAGTAGGCGCTGATCCCTTCGGTCCGTCGTATGTCATCGACGTCCCGCTGCATCTACGCACCTACCCGGTCTTCCATGCATCCAAGCTGCTGCCTTTCACGCCAGCTGATGCATTCCCAGACCGGCCCCCTCAATTCGGTCCACCAATCCCTGGCAAGGGATATGACGTGGAGTGGATTGAGGACGAGTGGGGCACAGGCCCCGACCGGCAGTATCTTGTCAGGTTCGCTTTTCAGCCCCCTTCTGATAACCGGTGGTTCTACAGAAGAGACCTGATCAAGATAGCAAAGTTCATTGTCTTGCGATATGAAGCGGCGCAGAAGGGTAACCTTCGCCGTTCACCTCGCCTGCACCCTTAGCTCCGAGGTCCTCGCTCCCGGGGAGGGTAAGCCTGCAATGACTTGTTGATTTCCATTGCCGAGACTGTCTGCGAGGCTGTACACTAACAGGTAGGGTTAGATTCGTAATTTTATTTGGCTGAGGGTTAACCGAGAGACCTACCTGTAGGGAAGTTCGTGAGGGACAGATCTGTAAATCCGAGAAAAACAGGCCCGGTACTAACCCGAATTCCTACAGCTACCCTAACTGCCTATAGCAGGTCCGGGCTACTCCTAGGACAGACAGGCCCTAAGCGGTCTATACTGCCAAACGGTCCTATAGCCTATAGCCGGGTCCAGTAGAGGCCGAGAGGCCGAAACAGCAACGGTACCGGTCGGTCAGTCAGTCTAGTCTAGGTCTAGTGTAGTCTATAGATAGGTTAGGCCCATCGGTTCAAGACTTTGGGCGATTCATGTCTCGCGAGCAGCGTTGGAGAAGCCAAGCAAGTTGGTGGCGGTGCTGGTCTGCAGGCAGCATCCTGAGACGCGCCGTGACAGCAGTCATAGTCGGCCCTCTCTGAGTCTGCCATAGCTGGGGCATCCTCAGCGCATCTACCCCTGGGGGTATCTAAGTATGGTCGGGCTGTATCGAGGCTCTACAGTGGTGGTTCGTGGGTGGTGGCAGCCATAGCTGCCTGTTCCTTCGTCAGAGTTGTCCATCGGCACTGAAGACTTCATCGCAGGACCTCGTCTTCATCAGGGTGGTTGGCGCTGGCCTCTGGGAGGCTGTTCTGATGCAGCGCTACTAACTGGGTGTAGGAG